TTCCTTTCGCTGTTCTCTCTCCCTTCGATTCCTCCCTGCGACGCGGCTAAACAATGTAACAAACTCGTCTCGAACGCAGCGGACACTGCCGGTAATCGTCGCGACGATGCCAGCAGCGTTTCGGGTCATGTGTAAGTTTTATCGAGCAAGAAAGAACCCAAGTCATTCCGCTACAACAGCCCAGGTGCAGATGAGTATGCTGCGGAGAACGTTATTTGAATCGTCGACCTTGAATGGGATCTCTAGCTTTGGGATGACGAGAGCTACAAGGCCCTCACAACAGAGAGACTCGAGCGCGATTGACCAGCACACGCGCGCCCGTACTCATAAAGCACACGCCGGTATCGTAGCAAGGCGGAGATGAGGTCCGTACTGTCCGGTTTTCGGTCGGGACCGGACAGTACGAATTCTCTACTGGAAAATGGCATCTAGGAGCCTCGCGCGGTCGAAAAAAGCCCCTAGGGATGCGCCTCCCAGCCGCATCTGCAGAAGTCGTCGCCCCTCCGGGGCTCCGAAAACAGAACCTTCACAAACGCACATGGTACGGCCGCTACGCGGCCGTGACCTCCCCGTGCCTTGGGCGACCGCCCCGACACTGTAGCGCACCGCCGGCGTTGTATCGTGAGGGCCAACAGGCCGCGCGATAGCCTCCCACTTGGGTTCGCGGTGGTTCCTTCGAGCCGCCATACCGCCACTAGCCATCCGCGATCAAGCCTGCGCTGCTTCAGTGCATTCGATGCGGCCAAATACACAGCGCACATTGTTTTGCTAGCACGTAGGGCGCGTCAAAGACTCGCGCCCATACGCTGCTGCCCGGTTTGGTACTGTCCGGCTCTAGTTGGTGTTGGCCCTACATAAACCCTTACTTGGCATCAACGTGACGAAGCGACTCCGAGCTGCTGTCTCAGGCTGTTAAAAAAATACCGCCGCCGACCACCCACTTCACCCCAGATCAGAAGGTGTGGCTACTGGGCTTGGGCCGTTGCTGCGGGGATACCACCTTTGGCCAGCCTAATGTTTTCCAGTAAAAACGACGAACCTCTCGCTTTTTTATATAGTGCACAATAAACTTTTACAAGCCCCCCTCTAGAAATGGCGCATGGGGGCTGGGAACGTGAAGAGCTGGCGGCTTTAGGTCCGCTGTTTGCGAGGGCGGCGCAACAATATTCTTCTCCCTGGTGCGAACGAAGAGGCCCAGCAGTGCACACCGCTGCGAGCAGGAGAAATGAGGTCACACCGCTGCATATGATCAGAAGCCACGACGGGCTGGACAGCGCAGTTTCAAGTGATGCCCCAGACGTCTGGCGACTCCCCAACGTGCCATTGATCGACCGGCGGCTCGGTTATCCAGCCGCGTATGTGACCGAAAACCGCTGGGCGCCAGAGATCCCAGAGATGCCAGCAAACACGAGCGAATGGGCTGGTTCCAAGAGCGCTGTGTCACCGGCAGCCCCCTTAGAGTTCCGACTGGGAAATGCGGTGCCCCTGTTTCACCGCGAGCACAAGGGGCAGATTGCACGTGTCAAATCCACCGACGAATACACAGCTTATGAGGCAGCTCAGAGAGCGAATGTCGCCGCAAAAGTCAAGTCTTCGCAGCTTAAAAAAAAGGGCCCCCCAGTTAAGCCCGCGGTCGCTTGGCTAAGTCACACACAACGACGCGACTCTTCAAGGGCCGCTTCTGCCGATGCACCTGGCTGGATGCAGACAAGCGCACATCACCATCGGATTATCTACAACCAAACATCGGCAAACCTTACATTTGTGCCGAACCCGACGACGGGCGCAAGTAGTCGGCCAATGGACACACTCGATCCTGCCCAAAGGCAGCGTCCTAGATCTGCAGCCATGGACCTTTACCCGAACCATCGCGGCCGCAAGCACATCCGCGATCGCGCTGCTCGAAAAGACCACGCATTTACGTACACACGAAGCAACAAGATCACCACACCGCCTCGAAGGCACAATGTTGAGATGCATTCCGCGGGAACAATGGCCCTTCTTCGTGGTGATCCCAGTCGACACACGCCGGTCTGGTTTGCACACCACCCTGCGAATTCCAGCAGGCTCGGCATTTAGCCAGGCTGGGAGAGTTCCTCCTGGAGGCCACTCTACGGGGCACGCAGCCAGATTAGCGTAGCATCATACGCAGGGTTCGAGACGGAGGATCGCGACTCTCAATGGCAGCTCAAGACGATGGAGCTGGGTTCCCAAACAGCCCGGGCATGCAGACCATGCTGGGGGCGTGGCTGGCAGCAGGGGCCCGGTTCGGGGTCCTTACTGCCCCTGGGTTGACCCAAGCGAGCTTTCGTGGGAAATGGAGGCCAACGGGCCGTGCTTGGAGGGCGCAGTCACCTCAGCCGGGAATGGAGAGGGCGGGGGAGAATAGGTATTCTCAAGACACCATATCCCCAAGAAGACACAAAGGGAGACGCATAAGGGTCGCAGGCGCGCCTGGGTATAGAAAGTACTCCTAGTTTAGAATACTATGTCGCTTTTCGAAATGGAAAATCGAACCAACCCGGCGAGGTAAGGCCCTCCCCTACGCCCGTGGATGTCCGGCCCCTAGCCGTACTGGCGACTCCAACGAGCCCCCTTTTAAAGCTCCCTAGCCGTACTGCGGCTGTAACTTGAAGTAAAAAACCCTATTAAAAAAAAAAAAAGGTCTACCACGTCCAGACGAGGCCAAGCTCGAGCGCCGGCCGAAATTAATCAAAAGCCGGGTCGAAATTAATCAGAAGTTCGAACGCTGTTGTATAAAAGTCAACTCTCGCTCGATCTCGTCACTGCAAGAGCGACGAGGTTTCCTAGCGTAGGTTAGCTAGATGATATCTCATACTGACTAGCGGACGGAACGAGAACCCTGACGGAGCGCAATCAGGAAGTGGCGCACGGCGTAGCAATGATGAGGTTCTTAGGTTTCCAAAAGTTTGGTGGCTCGGGGCCGAAGGTCAAAAAAGGCCTTCAAAATTTACCCTGCGCTTTGGTCCGGATTCCGACCAAATCGTTTTGGCTGTGAGCTGCGCTTCAGCCGCATTGGATTTCGTCAGGGCCTTACAAGACGAAGCTATGGTTCGAGCGTCTTTATCAGCCCCCAACCATGCGATAATGCGGAATCATGCAACGATCCCAGTAGCTTCGAGCTCCGCTAGTGTGTGCCTGACTCACATGCGCAGACGCGAAGTGCTGCCGGTCGCGTGGTGACTCAAACCGTCCTTCGGGAGCTGGGATGAAGCACGTTTGATCCCCTCAACCCCATTTTGATGTCTATCGACCTCTCGCAGCATCGGGGATCGTATATCACCATCCCCAGTTAATTCCCTTCAGTAGGGCTGGGTTGGTCCGTCGTCGTCGTCGTCGTCGTCGCCGCCGCCGCCGCCGCCGCCGCCGCCGCCGCCGCCGTCGTCACGCGCGCGTGGAAATTTCGAACCCACAATCAAGGGCAGCGGAAGTCCGGAAACAGCATTTCAATTCCACCCGGGAAGGGCGAATTCGTACATAAACCACACGAAACGACCGTCGACCGAGGGGCTGCCCCGTTCGACGTGAAGGTCTCCACCTGAACACCGCGTAACGCAACGCGCGCACGATGTCGCGGACGCTGAGGCGCACTGTACCGTTACGCGGCGTTCAGATCGACTCCGGACCCGCCCCCGGGGGCCGGTCGCAGCCCATAACGTGCGCAGCGGCGCTTCAGTAAAGTGGAACTTAGGTATGCCTTAGGTATGCGGCTGAAGCGACCCACGTGTGGATCCTTCGCTGCCCTTGCCACCTGTAGGCCCGGCCTGGTCGGACTGGACGCCGGCGACGCGTGGAGCTGCCTGGCACCGTCAATTTGGCACCGCAAATATGCTAAGCTAAGCTATGCAGCTAAGTGCCATTCGCAAGTGCCATTTGCACCAGGAGGGGCTTTTGATCATCAAAGAGCAAGCTTTATCAGAGTGTGCCAATCGGCGTTGTTGATTTCAGCCTTGTTCAATTGCTTGTGTGTGTTCACCTTGCGCAGGAGCTCGATAGCAGTAGTCTTAATTCTAAAAAGGATCCGCTGGATGTCAATAGTGCGTACCTGGGAGATTGCGGCTTACGGAAAGACCAATGACTAGGCACAAGCTACTCTGGATCGCAGACAAGAGCAAGGCGAGCTGTGCCGTTGGGCTCAGGATCAGCAAGAATGTCAGCTATTTGGAGGCAGGTCACGTACCAGTGCCAGGCGAAATTGGATTGATCACGCTGTGAAAAAGCATCTGCAGTAACGCGGGCAACATCAGTTGCGTGAATGAGTACAGTACCGGCCACTCTGAACGAATGATCTATTTTGGTTTTTCCAATTGATGCTGCTTCCTGTAGCGCACCAAGATCGAGCCAGCCTAGCTTTGGAAGGAAGCCACCAACGAGAGGGCCAACGAGGGTCTTGAGGAGTACATCAATGCGCCATAGCAGATCAATTTTGGCGTCCTTTGTATCATTCGCACGGAGAGAGTCTGCTTGAAAGTGCATGGGCGAATAAGATGCTTTTAGAGGAGACCGTGTAGGGAAGCTGAAAGTAGCAATGAGGGTGTCATATGTGGTAGTGGAACATTGATGAGAGGTTTTAGCAACGCGCTCACCGTCAATTGGAGTAGCTTGGGCCAAGGCTTTGAGCGGTACATCGCGCCAGGTATTGATGCATCGTATGGCAAGTCGGATAGTGCGCCAGCCAACGTGAACTTTAAGGAGTGCAGTAGCGAGCACATCATGGGGGCCATGAGCGTAAGCCACATCAAAAATAGTATCAAGTGCAGTGTTCGGAATATAGGCAAGAGCAGCATCTACGTCAATCCAGAAAACATCATCGCAATGCATAATAGCAGAAAGGCCAAGGTCAGTTAAGATTGAGTTCGCGTGGCGAACGAGCTCAAGAGGCATAGCCGCGAGCCACCCGAGCGCAACAAAATTGCGAGCCCTATCCCCTGATGTCAAAGAGACGGATAGCGCCAGCGCACCATTCTTCCGAAATAGTTGATCGCAGACACGGCATGCAAGTTCAGGCACCGCTTCTGCTCCCAGGGCTTCTTTAGCCGCCTCAAGGCAGGAGTCTATTTCACAAGCATTATTTGCACCTGAAAAACATTCAGCCACGTGCTGGAGACGCGCACTATGCAAAGGCGCGCTGTAAAAGGCCGCAAGTTGGATCGTTGCTGGGCTTGTTGATAGCTGCACAGCATACCTAGCTAGCCACTGGTCGCACAACGCGTCATGTCCTAGTATACTTCTTCCTGTTCCAGCTACACGTCGCCAGATACATGCTAGAGTAGCCTTGACACGGCAGATCAATGCAAACTCTGCGGACCCATCATCTTCGGTTGGATGTAAGAGGAACTCTGGAATACTCGCTGCGCCATGCGCTGCCAATCTCGCAGAAAGCGTCTGAAGCGTCGTCCCAGGCAGCGCATTTAGTTCCGCAAGTGCTGATTCCTCTGGTCTAAGTGGCAGTCGATTGGGAAGCGAATGCTTATGCAAACTTGCGGTGTCGACTGTGGTACTGGCTTCAGCGCACTTAATCCTAGCCCACCCATTATCTTCCCAAGATGCCTGAGGTCGTGCGCGTGCAAAGGCGGCCACATCACCGCCGAATATAGCATGAATTGCGGCTTCATACAAGCAAGCCTCTGCAGTTGCAACCACCGATGCCTGCAGAGTGTCTGCAAGTGCATGCGCTTCCATATCGCAACGCCCTTGGGCTAGTACCGCATACCAGACCTAGACGCGCGAGGGATAACTACCTCTCGCCCGGGTCAGTGGTCTGGACGCCGCAAATGAGACCACATCTTTCATCGCCTTTCGGGTGGCATCATCCTGTAGCCGCTCACCGATTTCGAGAGCCTTTCGACACCGTTGCCTGCAGCAGTGACGCCAAAGTTGTACTTGTCGATTGCCAAGCTGTGGAGATGTGCAAGACTTTCCACTGTCCCAGGGGTCTCCACCACGTAGCACCACTGCGCGCCACAAACCCTCTGGTACTCTGAAGTTCTGCGATGCTGCATCCTCGGTATGGCCCGCCCGAACGTTTAGGTACCTATCTCGTGATCTTGGTCAAAGCTACAGCATTTTTGCAGATGAAGACACTGTAAACTTGCATCGACCTGACACGCGCACGCTCGTCCTCGGCCTCTGCGCGCACCTGCACGCTCGCCTACATGGGAACCTCACACTTTGGCAAATACATTGTAACACTGGAGTGCGTACTGCAGTAAGACAGGTATCTGGTGTCAATGCCAAGGCCCGAGACACGACGCCCTCAACGCAGTCACTATCGATGTTCACAGCGCTGCGGTGAGTTGAATGCTCAAAGTACTCCACATTCTCCTCCGCCGTCGCCTCCAGCCAGGATAGCACGCACTGCCATCGCCTTGAAGTTTCGGACCGAACTTCTCCACAAGTCTCTTCGCTGTTTCGACTGACGCTCTCAGCGCGGATGCCATCGCCTAGAAGCTCGCTGCCAGCTAACTTGGCTGCCAATAACCATAGGTTTCTCTCCTGCAGATAGAGATTCGAGTCAGAACATCGTCGCCGAGACTCCGAGCGCTTTGCCGCGCCAAGGAGCCATTCCTTGAGCGGAAATGATGCGTCGAAGAGCTCTGCAAGAGCGAAGGCATCCGCTTTCGTGATCTCATCCATTGAATCCCCTCCTAAGAATCGTTCAAGCGTTGCCTGAAGATTTACACACTTTTGAGGTAATCGCGGCCATGTGAGCCCGTGCCGCCAATTATTTTAACTAGAATAAACAATCAAATCATGTCGACTAATCAGTTTTGGGGGCCGGGCGAGGTTTCTAACATAGATTTGGGCAGTGCGGTGATCAACGTACATCTAGGTGCACCTAGATTAACTAATTAATATTAATCGATCATTTTGGGCCCGGGTTCATTAGTCCTCCGTAGAGGCTGTGCGTCGACCGCGCGCGAAAAAAAAATCCAGGCAATCAGAATCTGAGTTTTGATCACTCCACTGTATTTGGGGGCGGGGCGAGGTTTTTTTTGGCGTCCCAGTACGCCTACGGACACGTGCGGCCGCGCGCGCAGTACGAATGTTGGCGGTTACTGGAGTTTTTTTCCTCAAAATCGGCCACAATGCCCGATTTTCGGACGAGACGGCGCCCAGTGCTCATGACGGAAATTCTAAATCCGCTGGTATTTTCTTGCCAGCTTTCTATAGCTAACGCCATCGGCGCAACACTATGGGCCTTGATTCTTTGGAGGGCGATGGCATTTCTGATACTCTTCTACACTGGCTTCACGCGAAAGATGAACTGGGCTACGGCCCCTCGCTTTGGTTGCCGGACACGGTAGTTTACAAGTTCGGCCAGCCAGTCCACTGGTATTTCACCAGCACAGTCGATAGTAAGTTAAAGAAGAAGAATAAGCAAAACTTAGTCAACGTGCGTATCGAAGAAGCGTTCAACAAACGTAGCGCTGGTTGCGACCTTGTCGCATATTACATAAGCGAGGTAGCCTTGGAAGGGAGCGCTGAGTCAGACACAACAATTGAATACTTCGATCGCAGGGGGTTACATGAATTTCTTTACAACAGATGGAAGGAGAATAACGGTATTCTGCAACGCTTCGTCGAGCCGAAAGGCATGCACAATGCCATCATTAGAGCCATTTGGTCACCGAAGGTCTGTCTGTTAGAACGACGAGTAAATTCAAAACAGCTTCATGATCAAAGATACGGTCTTTATGAGCGGGCGGTAACTTACGAGGGTCCAGAACATTTTAGCGCCGCGGCTCCGTTGCGAGGCAGTACTCTACCCAGCCAAGTCCAACGGATTTGTGAGAACTTGGTGGCTCACATAACTGAGGTCTCGTTCCAAAAGCACTGTATCATGCGCATGGTTGCAAATTTCAAAGTTGATTCGAAAGGACGCATATGGTTTCTGTGGAGTAGTTCCATACGGTTAGCCGGTGGTCGTAGTCAGCCCAGGAGTATAACCATAGACCCTTTCGTGGAACCTAATGCAATCAGTATAAACTCCATCGTACAGCTACCTCCGCACATCAAACTGGTCGACAAGGCCAACCATTCAGATGACGAGGCGCAAGCGTTGTTGTGTATGCATTGCATAAGCTGTGGTAGATCCGCAACTTCCGATCAATTTCATCCCATACAATACAAAACAATCGTGGCACACTTTGAACAGCTTGTGGCTATGTTACAGACTGACGGTCACGGATCGGTAAAATGGCCCCCGAATCCCACGATCATAGCCGCGGCGGGTGGGGTTGGGTTTGGCAACCTAGAAGCACTGGCTGACCGAAACAGAAATGAAATGAGGGGCGCTGACGCGACGATGCCGCCAATAATCAGACAGATCCACCCTAAACTCTCCCTCGACGCGTACAGGAAGTACCGCCGAGATCCGCTCTTCATGTACAAAACGGTGGTTGTGTGCGAAGACTGTTTTTTGGTTTATGCGGAACTTTCAAGCTCACCAAATGCATCAGTTGTCACCAGGCAGTGCACCGGCAAACAGAGCCCATTTGTGACCTCCGACAATTGCTTTCCGTGGCGTCAAGCGGAAATGGTATCGCATAAACTACCACGGCAGCTTCGCATGCAAAGCACCCAAAGCAAGTCTGTTTGGATGCCCAATGAAGCACCGTCTATTCCAGCTCCGATATACAACTCTGCGAAGCTGGCTCTACCCCCCCAACAGGCTGAGGATGAAAGCGTTGGACGAATTCTCTCAATCGAAGATATGGTCAAGCAACGAGGTGAGTCTAGTCTATACATGCATTCCCCACTTGTGTTATGTAGAGGATTTATTTTTCCAAGAAGCAAGAAGCTCACAGACTGTTAACCTGCAGAAAGGACACCCTCTCACACATCTAATTACTTCCTTCCAGTCAATAAAGCAACACTCCACGGAGCACCCGCTGGTTAAAAATACCTCCGTGAGAAAGGGGCCGTACAACAAGAGGCCAGTTTTGGTGGAATCCAAGAAGAAGAAAATGCTTCTGAAAGCCAACGAGACAGACGGTGGGCCCAAGTCCCGCTTGACCGTTTCCAAAGATTCCAAGCTGCACCGAGAATTCCTTATGTCAACGTATATGCAGCGTCTTTGCCTTATTGGATATTATCCTGAAGCCACCCCTAAG